ACCCCAAGACAAGGTAAGAACAATGAACTTTCGAGGACGAAAGTGCTTAAGAGGGTGAGAATTTGTAAGATCCCAAGTAAGGTAAGAACAATGAACTTTCGAGGACGAAAGTGCTTAAGAGGGTGAGAATTTGTAAGATCCCAAGTAAGGTTAAGACACTCGATTTTGTAGATGCAAGGAGTTTGACAAGACAGTCAAGGGCCAAATGTCGGAACAAGTACTTAGCTTTAAGGCATTAGTTGAGAACTAAAGTGCACAATGCTGATTATAAAGACATGTCGGAGAAGGGAAAACCTATAAATGTTCCCTTAAGAAACTTGGAAGGACATAAGGAAGGATAAGTACCTGAAGACAAGATAAGAACAATGAAGTTTCGATGACGAGACTTCTTAAGAGGGTGATAATTTATAAGACCCCAAGTAAGGTTAAGACACTCGAATATGTCGGCACAAGGATATTGACAAGACAATCAAGAGGCAAATGTTGGAACAAGTACATTGCCTTAAGGCATAAGTTAAAAACTAAATGGTACTAGGGCTGATTATAAAGACATGTCGGAGAATGGCGAACCTGTAAATGGACCCTTAAGAAACTTTGAAAGACATTACTAAGGATAAGTACCCAAAGACAAGATAAAAACAATGAACTTTTGAGGACGAAAATTCTTAAGAGGGTTTGAATTTTAAGATCCCAAGTAAGGTTAATACACTCGAATATGTCGGAAAAAGGATGTTGACAAGAAAGTCAAGGTGAAAATGTCGGAACAAGTACATGGCCTTAAGGCATACGTTAAAAACTAAAGGTCATAATGCTGATTATGAAAACATGTCGGAGAAGGGAAAACCTGTAAATGGAGAAGACAATCAAAAGGTGCAAATGCTAAAACAAGTACATTGCCTTAAAACATAAGTTATGAATTAAAGGCGACAAATGTAGATAATAAGGACGTGCCAAAGAAGGACAAAGCTATATAAGGACCCTGAGGAAACTTGGAATGACATGACTAAGGACAAGCACCTTAAGACAAGGTATGAAAAGTGAATTCTTTGGGACGAAAGTTCTTAGGGAGGGGAGAATTTGCAAGACCTCAAGTAAGGTTAAGACACTCGAGTAAGTTAATGTTGTAAGAGACCCAAAGAAAGTTAAGGAGACGCAAGAAAAGAGATTCTTAATGCCCAAACAAGGTTTCATAGGGATGAAAAAGGTTGAGAAAAAAAATAGTCAACTTAAAAGGTAAAAGGATCATTTTTTCAATTTTATGTAAACTGAGATTTTTAATTCCTTATGGAGATAAAATTTCAAAATGCTCGAGAGTTAAAAATGTTCGAATTTTTCAGAATAAAATATTTAAAAATTTCCAAATTACCAAAATACCCATGAAATTCCATATATTCGTGAAAATGCCCTATCAAGAAAATCTTTCCCAGATTCATTTTCAGTATGGGTCAGTTGGACAAAAGCTTTCCTATCTAATGATCCGACCGGTAGATTAGTCCCAAATTTGGTTATTGTCTATAAGACTCGGATATCTTTAAATCTAACGGTGGACGACGACAAATAAGAAGATATGGGCAACGTTTAGGGACAACAAGGGTAGTACAAGGGTAGTACAAGAATTAAGGAAGGCCTTATAACACCAAGAAAAGAAGAACTTAAGACCCTAAGAATTCGTCTTCTACCAGAAGGAACAAAAAGGAACCTCTAAGATACAACCTTGAAGAAACAAGGTTCATTATCTCATGGCTTGTTGAACATAAAGAATAAGATAAGCTCTCTAAGATATAAGAAAACAAACGGATGGCAAAGGAAGACTTGTCAATCTCAATAAAAGATATTGAGAAGACTGTCAAAGGGAGCAAATGTCGGAACAAGTACATGGCCTTAAGGCATAAGTTAAGACTAAAGGCCACGAGGGCAAATTATTAGGATATGTCGGAGAAGTTCAAACCTGTAAAAGGACCTTCAAGAAACTTGGAAGGACATAACTAAAGACAAGTACCCCAAGGCAAGTTAAGAATAGTGAACTTTCGGGGACGAAATTTCTTAAGAGAGGGAGAATTTGTAAGACCCCTAGTAAAATTAAGACACTCGAGTAAGTTTAAGGCATCCAAAAAAACGATTAAGAGACCAAAGGAAGGTCAAGGGGTCAAGGAAGAGATTCTCAATGCCCTAGCAATGTGTTATAAGCATACTAAGCATAAAGTGCAAACAAAATGTCATTTTTCCAATTTTAGTAAACTTCTAGAATGTTTAATTCCTTATAGAGAAGGAATTTCAAGATACTCGAGAAGGTACCAAAAATGGGTAAATAGTTTTTGGAAAATATTCGGATTTTCAGAATAAAAATTCAAAATGTGGAAATACCCCTAAACTTCAATTATTTACAAAAATGCCCCTGACCAGAAATTCTTTCCAGATTGGTTTACAGCAGGGGTCAGCTAGAAAAAATCTTTCATATCTCAAGATTCAGCTATTGTATTTGTCCCAAATTTGGATATGATCTATAAGACTTAGATATGTTTAGATCTAACGGTTGGTGTTGAAAAATGACATTAGCAACATCCTCATCGGAGTAGATTTTTCCAATGGACCTTCCAGAAGTTTCAAGTTTAAAATCAGCACTATTTTGTATGTTTTTAGTTCATTGCAAGCTTCATCCACAAATAAGAAAACGTGGTTAATGTTTAGGGACAAGAGTAGAGACTCGAGAGTACAAAGATTAAGGAAGGCCAAGGATAGTTATAGGGATTAAGTAAGGCACCAAGAAGAACTTAAGACCCTTAGAAGCCACCTTGTACAAAAAGAAACAAAAGGAACCTCTAAGATACAACCTTGAAGGAACAATGTTGATTATGTCAAGATTTGTTGACCATAAGGAAGACGATAAGCTCTAAGATATAAGTGTCAAGATTTGTTGACCATAAGGAAGACGATAAGCTCTAAGATATAAGGAAGCTCAAGTATGACAAAGGAAGACTTTGTAATCTCAACAAACGATGTTGATAAGACAGTAAAAAGGAACAAAGACCGGAGCAAGTATTTATGAAAGGATGGAAGAAAGGTAAGTTTGGGTTTAAGAATTTTGGGTTGAAGTATGAGATTTGACTTCAATTTTTTATCAAGTAAATAAATTATCGTGATAGAAATAAGGTACTTTTTTAGAACGGTCTATAGGTTTCATTGACAAATTTAATGAGATGATATCATTTCTTTAATAGGATAAAGATCCATCAGTGGTAAATGAAACACTACATGTTTATAGTCGAACAGATCATAAAAAGATATAAGAAATTTGGCTTAAAGTATGAGATCCAACTTCAAATATTCTAGGGGTCTGTCAGCTTGAGTGGAAGTCATGGCTTGGTCACCTTGATGTCATATAACAAGCTCAAAACCCAAGTCACATTTTGAAGTCATGGCTTGGTCACCTAGATGAATGCAAACCAACTTGTCATGTGAGTAATACCATAAAATTATTTGGCATAGTTAGAAATGGAAAGAGCTCCCATAGATTTGAAAACCAAAGGAGATAGATTTTTGCACTCTATTTGGTTGAACTTACAACATTTTAATTTAATTCTTTTGGTTTAAAGCGGGTTTTCCTTATTTCTCTCTATTATAAAAATATTGGGATAAAAATGCAGTCAATATATTACTAATTTCAGGCACTGCTTTTGTTTTATTTTTATTATGTTTTGTGTTTTGGTTTGTCTTCATTGGTAAATTGACTCGGTATACCTGCTTATTCTATATATAGTTGTGCATGCTCACTCTTGTATGCTCTCGTCATCGAACCATTCACAACTTAATGTATTAGTAGGATCCTCTCTGGCTTTCACTATTATTTTGTGATGTATTCTTTAATAGAATGAGTTCTTAGATCAAAACATCATAAATTCTACTCTAATCACAATGAATTGGTTCTTGATCAGCAGTAAAACTTATTTTTCTTGCTACTAAGCCATGACTTACACTCAAGCTAGCTGACTGCCCCTAGAATTTAATTGTGCACAAGATTCTTAAATCATGATCGAATCATCGACGTAGTAGTAAGAAAAATAAATTTTACAGCTGATCAAGAGCCAATTCACTATGATTAGAGTAAAATTTATGATGCTTTGATGTAAGAACTCATTCTATTAAGGAATGTATCACAAAATAACAATGAAAGTTAGAAAGGATTCTACTAATACATTAAGTTGTGAATGGTTCAATGGCGAGAGCATACAGGAGTGGGCATGCACAAATATATTATAATAAACATGTATACCGAGTCAATTTACCAATGAAGACAGACCAAAGCGCAAAACATAATAAAGACAAAACAAAAGCCGTGCCTGAAGTTAGTAACATATTGACTACATTTTTATCCCAATATTTTTATAATAGGGAAAAATAAGGAAAACTCGCTTTAAACCAAAAAAAATTAAATTATAAAGTCGTAAGTTCAACAGAATATGGTGCAAAAATCTATCTCCTTTGGTTTTCAAATATACTGGAGCTCTTTCCATTTCTAACTATGCCAAATAATTTTATGGTATTACCCACTTCTATGCTCCCAAGTTCTTTGACACTTGTAGACTAAAAAATGCCATTGTTTTTGGTTCCATTCAAACATAGTGAATGTAAACTCTCCCAAGCAGCACATCAAAGTCAGGAAAACCTGTGGAACATTGTTCATTCCAGTTTTTCTGATTTGATTATGAATAAATAAGTTACCTAAAGGTTCCTTCAAGTTGGTGTTCTTGGCTAGTTAGTTCACCAAAATTAGGAGCAGCCAACCGAGGCATAGCAACATATAAGCATACAAAATGGCAACATATAAGCATAGTCCCGTATTTAGGTGCAACTTATGGGCTCATAGTGGGCGCATTTTCCTTGGAGTTGAACCAGGATTACTACTTTTGTCATCATTTTAGCTTCTTTTTATCAACTATACTATAAAACCCACAGAATCATCACTATTTTCTTTGGTTAGAGTCACAAACTTAAGAGAGAGTTTTTGTTGCTTGGTTAAATTTTGTTACATCTATTCCTTTAATATTCAATACTAGGAGTACTCTCCATCTATTGCTTGAGAAGCGTGCACTTGGGCTTGTGCCCATCACCTGTCATGAAGGCTTCTGTGAGATCCCACATCGATTTAAAGGAGGGGAACGAAGCATTTTTTATAAGGGTGTGGAAATCTCTTACTAGCAGATGCGTTTTAAAAACTTTAAGGAGAAACCCGAAAGGGAAAGCTCAAAAAAAAAAATATCTGCTAGCGGTGGGATTGGGTTGTTATAGCTTCAACCCCCGAATCACATGATTTAGGTTTGCATAAACCATGTTTTGAAGTTTCTTGTAGATATCTCAGTACACTTTTGATTGCTGTAATGTAGTGGGATTCTACAAATATTGACTCAGTTTGCTAATAATGCATGCAATGCAATTTCTGGGTGTGTATTCTGGAGCCCCAATTGCACTTATATAAACTATAGGATTAGTCATTTACCTGTACTGTTGGATTTGGACAAGCCTTAAGATTACGGTCCATTCTCATATCTATGAACACCGACATAGGTTCTTGATTATTAAACTCATTTGACAAAGATTTATGTTTGTGTTGGCCAAGAAATTCCAGTATTTAGATGTAAAAAACACCGCTTTTAGACCTTGTCTGCATCAGATAATTAGATTGGTTTGCTGTTTTCCATGTTTTCTAAGGCTTCTCCAACTTCTTCCCTGTAATCTGGAACTGAATCTCAACATGTGATCGGCCATGGACATTAAACTATTAACAGTAGGAGACATAGCTGATGTGTTTGAGCTGAGGTCCTAGGAGTGGTAGCTTCAACTGATAGAGACCTTCCATAAGTACCTCTTGTAGCATTACTTTCCTTGTTGCCTTGTCTTTGACAAAACAGTCCTTTCTTGAGCTAAACGAGCAACCGTGATAAGATTTTGAGTGATTTGAGGAACGTGAGAAACTTTTGAGTCTATTCCCATTCTACCTACAGTTTCTACCTGCAGTTAAGAGGCCATTATCATGATATTCAGACCTGTTCAGTAGTGAAGCAGTAGCCCATTCAGCCCAGAGATCTCCAATAGGTTAGATCCAAGTGGTAGTATCAAGACTCTTAGCTATGGTTCTCGAGAAATGACATGATTTGGCCCATTCCTCGAAAGTTTTTGTACGTTGTATGTTGACCTTTTTTTGAAACATTTCCTATTGTTTTGGTAGACGGAGATGGAATTGTTAGAGCTGATGTTCCTTTTCGAATAGGTGAATCAAAATTTGATGTTGAATGGGTCGATGTAACTATTGAATTCTATAATGGTAAGCTCAATGGAGTCCGTTAGTGATCTTGCAACTATGAAAAAAATATGCTAGATGTGCTCAATTGGGTGAAAATTTAGAATTAGATCGTGCTACTTTGAAATTTGATGAGGTTTTTCGTAGCCGTCCAAGGGATTAGTTTACTTTTGGGCTTGTGTTGTTTGGTTTACTTGATGCTCGGACCTTGTTCGAAGATGTTTTTGCTGGGATTGACCCATGGTTAGCTCCTCGAAAGTTTTAGGCTTATGTTTGTTTTGTGAATCCAAGGTACTCGGATATTTTGGTTATTCACTTCTTTGTATTTTGCACTATATTCATGAATTGATCCCATCCTAGGTTAGCACGATATTTGCTTGTATGGCCATCCATGTAAGTGATTTTATTATTGACTTGGTCAAAAGACTTGTCTTATGACTTGTCTTATGTATGATGACATGTGCTCAGTGGCCCTTGCACTTGTCAGGTATGTTTATATGATATTATGATGTGTTATGATGATGTGATTCGATATGATATTATGATGTGTTATGATGATGTGATTCGATATGATATTATGATGTGTTATGATGTGATCTGATATGACATTATGATGTGTTACGATGTATGGGGTTGTGTCACATGAATGATTCAAAATGAAAATAATAGAGACATCATGCATATAATTACTTCCCCTTTTATGACGATGAGTACGGAGATGTGCACTATGATAATGATCATCATCATCATACTTGCATGATATTCAAGGGATTGTTGTACTTCCGGACGCTCTTCTAGTGGACCTACGTTCGCACGGGTGGGTTGTATGTATACGGATGTATTACCAACCAATAAACTTGTTTACACAAAATATAACTGCATAATAAAGTTACCCACATGAGAATTATTTATTTAAATTTGATTAGAAACATGGCATTGGGTTAAGAACAAGGGGGGTTTTCTTGTGAACAGTGAGCCCATCTTCTTCTTCAACGCTCAATTCACAGCCACTGGGAAGCTTCCAATCAAACCAATGGAGAAGATTAGCCAATGCCTGTTCAAATGAAGAAACCCCAAATGACATTCCTGGGCACTTCCTTCTCCCACTCCCAAATGGAATAAACTCATAGTCTTGGCCTTTGTAATCCGCTGAACAGTTATCCATAAACCTCTCCGGAATGAACTCGGTTGGATTCTTCCAATATTCGGGATCCCTTTGGATTTTCCAGACGTTCACAAAGACTCCTGTTTTTGATGGAATATGGTAGCCGTCAATCTCCACATCTGCTGTTGTTTCTCGTGGCACTAGCAGAGGAACGGGCGGGTGGAGCCTTAGAGATTCCTTTACGATACAGTGAATATACTCCATCTTTTGTATATCTTCGACTTCAATCTTTTGTTTCTTTCCTATTATTGTTCTTACTTCCTCTTGGGCTTTCTTCCTGGCGGCTGGGTTTCTCATCAGCTCTGTCATTGTCCACTCTAGTACCGTCGCTGTTGTGTCACTGGCACCAACAAACATGTCCTGCAATCCAAGATCAAAAGTAGGACCACACAGGTTAAATAGACATTAGTACAAAAAAAAAAAAAAAAAAAAAAAAAAAAAAAAAAAAAAAAAANAGCCAATGCCTGTTCAAATGAAGAAACCCCAAATGACATTCCTGGGCACTTCCTTCTCCCACTCCCAAATGGAATAAACTCATAGTCTTGGCCTTTGTAATCCGCTGAACAGTTATCCATAAACCTCTCCGGAATGAACTCGGTTGGATTCTTCCAATATTCGGGATCCCTTTGGATTTTCCAGACGTTCACAAAGACTCCTGTTTTTGATGGAATATGGTAGCCGTCAATCTCCACATCTGCTGTTGTTTCTCGTGGCACTAGCAGAGGAACGGGCGGGTGGAGCCTTAGAGATTCCTTTACGATACAGTGAATATACTCCATCTTTTGTATATCTTCGACTTCAATCTTTTGTTTCTTTCCTATTATTGTTCTTACTTCCTCTTGGGCTTTCTTCCTGGCGGCTGGGTTTCTCATCAGCTCTGTCATTGTCCACTCTAGTACCGTCGCTGTTGTGTCACTGGCACCAACAAACATGTCCTGCAATCCAAGATCAAAAGTAGGACCACACAGGTTAAATAGACATTAGTACAAAAAAAAAAAAAAAAAAAAAAACAAACAAACCTAAAAAGAATTAGTACGATTGTTTTGAGGGTTAAATGGACAGAAAAGAAACCAGTATGATTGCTTTGAGCTGGTCGGAAGAGAAATGATAGTCACCCATGTCATCCTGTTGGAGCTGCAACATGATATCCACAAAATCCTTCTTAAATTCATCCGTTAGAACACCGGCTCTTATTTTTTCCTTGTGTTCTTCAACCACTTTACTAAAAAATGTATCCAATGTTTTGAAGCAATCTTTCAACTCCTTATTGAACCCTCTAATAATATCAATCCACCAAAGAGAAGGAAAAAGATCAGCTACACAAAACGCCACAATTAGCACCATAAGCTTTCTGGCTGTCTCTCCAAATTGACTATTCCCATTTTCATCCTCAAATTTCTCTCCCAAAACGCATCTAGACACTATATTGTTCGATGTTTGAAGGAACAACTGACTTAGATTCACAGCCTCACCGCCCACACTAGCCTTACGAATCCTGTCCATGAGCCCACCAACTTCCTCATCCCTTACGTACTGAAAGGAGTCCACTCTTTTGACACTAAAAAGCTCAAGAGCGCACACTTTCCTGGCTTGTCTCCAGTACTCACTACAATGAACAAAGGCAATGTCTTGACATTGGTACAGCAATTTCTTTGAGGCAGTAGTTTGTAGTCTGTTGGAGAATATGATGTCATGGGTCTTCATCACTTCTTTAGCTATTTTTGGTGATGAAACCACAAGGGCTTGTGTCTGGCCAAGCTTTAGGAGCATTAGAGGGCCATATTTGTTAGAAAGAGCTGCCATGGATTGGTGTGGCAGGGCACCTAATTGGTGGAGGTTGCCTATGATGGGTAGCCTTGGTGGTGAAGGAGGTAAGTTGAGTTTGTTGCGTTTGAAGATCTTTAGCAGAAGTATGAAGAAGAAGAAAAGGCATATGGAAAAAGAGATTGGATTGAGAGCTTGAAATTGTTGCTGGATCTTCCTTGTGAGATCCATTTTCTCCCTCGCTGGCTTGCTTGATAATTTCGGAGTTCTTTCGGCCTTTATTTATAATCATTTCAATTTACTTCTTGGAAGTTAGCGTACTTCTTGGTATACCACTAGATGTCACACTCCTTAGGGGCCAGCATCCTTGCTTGCATACCACCAAGTGTCACGCCTCCTTCAGGCTCAGCGTCCTCGCTGACATACCACTTTGTGTCACACACCCCTTTGGAGTCTAGCATCCTCGCTAGCATACCACCCAATGTCATTATTTGTAACAACTCAAGCTCATTGCTAACCGATATTATCCGCTTTGGCTCTGGCTCATCCTATTACCGTCAACTTCACGATTTTTAAAACACATCTGTTGTAGGGAGGTTTCCACACCCTTATAACTTATTTCAAATATGAAACAAGAAAACAACTGGACACTAACTTTACAAACCAACAAAAGGAAATATCAATTCGATTATATCTAACCGATGATTTGATTCCTAAAAAAATATCAGGATAATTAGAGTGACACCTCTCATTAGATAACGCTTCCTTTTATTTTTTTAATTCACAAGACATCGAGCCCATTTAAAAAAAGACCATTCTTCTATATAATTATGGACTCTAAATTTATTAGCAACCAAAATGGACCAACCTCTTCTCTTCATCATTTTTGTCATCTTTTCAATTGCTATTATTCCCTCTTTATAATATTATTAAATATCACATTATATAGAAAAAATAGATAAAATAAAGTTGGTTTTAATAAAATTACAAAAATAATAAATTTAAAATTTTAATATTTAACGTTATATAAAATATTATTAAAAATGAAGGCCGTCCATCGTGACGCAAGCAGTTGGTGAGCTTTAGTATAATCTTGAATTTCTCTGATTTTTGTTTATTCTTTTTTATTTAAAGAAAATATAATGACCTTTTTTTTAATAATAATAATTATTATTATATATTCTTGAAATTTTGAAATTTAAATAAGAATTATTGATTTATCCACTTATTTTAGTATTTTAATTCTTGAAAACTTCAATTAATATATCAACTTATTTTAGTATTTTAATTTATATTTTCCTTATCATTTTAATTTATTTTAATAAAAACCATCATCGTTAAAAAAAAAAACTATAATTAACAGTAAAATTGTTAAATTATAACTTAAATACAAAAATATTTTTATAAAAACTATAATTTTGTATTTCATATAATTTATTTTATCTTTTTAACAATTTAAAATTTTTGAATTTACAGCTGGATTGCATTAAACTTCAACAAATATGTTTATTTTTAAGAAACACAAACCAACAAATTAACAACAAAAATTAAATAAAAAGTTAAATAATTACTTTAAAAAATAAAAACTAAATAATTAAAAAAAAAGTTGTTAGATTGTCATATTAACTTATTAAAAAAACATTAAATAATTAAAGAAGAAAAGAACGAAAATAATGGCCGTCAAGGACCGATCTTGAGCCCATGGGGAGTTCATCATCGCGTTGGGTGGCCCTACCTATGTAATAACCCCCCCAAAAAAAAATTATTAGAAAAAATTGTCCTCCACTTCCTTTTATCATCTTAATTGAACGGTTCGAGCCAATCGTGGAGTACACTGTCTAATAGCTTAAGGTCAGCATTTTGACTAACTCGACTTGGGTTTGATATGTTCGGACCCTTTCTTTGGTTAGTATGACTACCCTTTAGCTAGTTTAATACTTGAATCCATCGTAGGGGTGGTGGGCTTGGACTTGGACTTGGGACCTATCGTTAGTTTAATACGTGAATCCATCATAGAGGCAGCCTCCAGTCGGGACAAAATTGGATGTTTAATGTTTCTCTACACATGAATCACACGTGTGAGCGTGAGTCCCTAGGCAGTTCGTGCCCCCTGGACCTATTATAGTCGGGCTAGTTGTTCGTAGTTGGACGTCTGAATGTCAGCAAACCCCCGAATATCATGTAAGGCATGATGATGATCATTATCATCATAGTGTATGCAATCTCATGTGACATATATAGTTTAGATAAACGACTTATTTATAGTTCGTAACGACCAATAAACGTGTTTACACAAAATATAACAGCATAATAAAGTGACCCACGTAGAATTATTTATTTAAATTCGATTAGAAACATGGCATTGGGTTAAGAACGAGGGGGGTTTTCTTGTGAACAGTGAGCCCATCTTCTTCTTCAACGCTCAATTCACAGCCACTGGGAAGCTTCCAATCATACCAATGGAGAAGATTAGCCAATGTTTGTTCAAATGAAGCAGCCCCAAATGACAATCCTGGGCACTTCCTTCTCCCACTCCCAAATGGAATAAACTCATAGTCTTGGCCTTTGTAATCCACTGAACGGTTATCTATAAACCTCTCTGGAATGAACTCGGTTGGATTCTTCCAATACTCGGGATCCCTTTGAATTTTCCAGGCATTCACAAAAACTCTTGTTTTTTTATGGAATATGGTAGTCATGGATCTCCACATCTGTTGCTGTTTCTCGTGGCACTAGTAGAGGACCTGGCGGGTGGAGCCTTAGAGATTCATTTATGACGCAGTGCATGTACTCCATCTTTTGAATATCTTCGGCTTCGATCTTTGATTTCTTTCCTATTATTGTTCTTACTTCCTTTAAGGTTTTCTTCATGGCGGTTGGGTTTCTTATCAGCTATGTCATTGTCCACTCTAGTGTGTCGCTGTTGTATCACTTCCTCCAACAAACATGTCCTGAAATCCAAGATCAAAAGTGGGTTCCTCTAAAATTTTCCAAAAGAGGATGAAATTCTTGTCCCAAAAAAAAAAAAAAAAAAATCCAGAGATATCTGTAGTGTTACATAGTGTTACAGCTCAAGCTCAAAGCAAACGAATATTATCCTCTTTGAGTTTATCTTCTTTGGGCTTTTCCTCCTCGGCTACCCCTCAAGGTTTTTAAAACCTTATAAATAATGTTTCGTTTCCCTCTCCAGCCGAGGTGGGATCTCACAATCCCACCCCCTTTGGGGCCCAGTGTCCTCTCTGACACTCGTTCCTCTCTCCAATCGACGTGGGATCTCATAATTCACCCGTCTTTGGGGCCCAGCGTCCTCGTAGGCACACTGCTTGGTGTTTGGCTTTGATACTATTTGTAACAGCCTAAGCCCACGGCTAGGAGATATTATCCATTTTTAGGCTTTCCCTTTTGTGATTCCCTCAAGGTTTTTAAAACGGGTCTGGTAGTAAAAGGTTTCCATACCCTTATAAAAAGATGTTTTGTTCTCTTCCCGAACGACGTGGGATCTCACACATAGGGCAGGAATGAGAAAGGCCAGGTTAAATGGACATCGGTACAAAAAGAAAACAAGAAACAAACCAGTAAGATTGCTTTGAGGCTGTCAGGATAGAAAGGATAGTCAACCATGTCATCCTGTTGGAGCTGCAACATGATATCCACAAAATCCTTCTTAGGTTCATCAATTCCAACACCATCTCTTATCTTTGCCTTGTGTTCTTCAACCACTTTACTAACAAATGTATCCAATATTTTGGAACAATCTTTCAACTCCTTATTGAACCCTCTAATAACATCAATCCACCAAAGACAAGGAAATAAATCAGCTACACAAAACGCCACAATTAGCACGATAAACTTTCTGGCTGTGTCTCCAAATCGACTATTCCCATTTTCATCCTCAAATTTCTCTCCCAAAACACATCTCGAAACTATATTGTTCGAGGTTTGAAGGAACAACTGGCTAAGATTCACAGCCTCACCGCCCACACAAGCCTTACCAATCCTGTCAATGAGCCCACAAACTTCCTCATCCCTTACATACTGAAAAGAGTCCACTTTTTTGACACTAAAAAGCTCAAGAGCGCACACTTTTCTGGCTTGTCTCCAATACTCACCATATTGAGCAAAGCCAATGTCTTGACATTGGTACAGCAATTCGTGCGCGGCAGTGGTTTGGGGCCTGTTGGAGAATCTGATGTCATGGGTCTTCATCACTTCTCTAGCCATTTTTGGTGATGAAACCACAAGGGCATGCTTCTGGCCAAGCTTTAGGAACATTAGAGGGCCATACTTGTTGGAAAGAGCTGCCATGGATTGGTGTGGCAGGGCACCTAATTGGTGGAGGTTGCCTATGATGGGTAGCCTTGGTGGTGAAGGAGGGAAGTTGGGTTTCTTACGTTCGAAGAGCTTTAGCAGAAGTACGAAGAAGAAGAAAAGGCATAGAGATAAAGAGATGGGATTGAGAGCTTGAACTTGTTGATGGATCTTCGTTGTGAGATCCATTTTCTCCCTTGCTGGCTTGTTTGAGAATTTCTGAGTTCTTTTTGGCCTTTATTTATAGATGTTAAATAATCTAAAATACCCTTAAACTATATATTTTTCTTAATTACAGACTCTAAATTTATTAGTCACCTCTTCTTTTCATCATTTTATCAACATTTGTCATAATTATCCTGTCTTTATTATAATATTAAATATATATGAAACATATTTTAAGCTATATAATCTCAGCTAAAATATTAGAAGTTTAAACTAAAAATAGTTTCAAACATGGATTTTAATTGTTTAAAATTTATATTTTTTATACAAAAAAATGAAGTTATTTTTAACCAAATTAAAAAAATAAAAAAATTAATTAATTAATTTAAATGGAAAGCAAATGGTAAATTTAATAGTAAATTTAAAATTTGATTAGTCGACGGTAGCGTAATGATAATGATAATAATTAAAGCCTTAGTTTTCAATATTTAAATCTCTTTTATTATAATAATAATAAAAAAAGAGATTTAATTATTGAAAGTTAAGGACTTCCCACCCCTAGTGATCTCACTTAAGAAGCTTGTGGACCATTAAATTCTAGGGATAGTCAACTAGCTTCTTAAATCTGGATCGAATCATCGATTCATAGTAAGAAAAAATAGCCAATTCCTTATGATTAGAATAGAATGTATGGTACTTCGAAGTAAGAATTCATTCTATCAAGATACATCACAAAATAATGGTGGAAGTAAGGGAGGATCCTACTAATACATTAAGTTATGAATGGTTTAATGACGAGAACATACAGAAGTGAGCATGCACAAATATATAGAATAAACATGTATAATGAGTTAATTTACCAATGAAGACAGACTAAAACGCAAAACATAATAAAGATAAAATAAAAACAGTACCCAAAGATAATAACAATTGACTACCTGATAAGTTTGTTTGCATTCATTTTTTTGTCTATAAACTTTGTAACAAAGATAGTTTTCAATCTACAAAGCTTGAGTGTCACGTTATTTCAGCTCCAGACTATAAAAGAACAAAGATCTACTAATCCAAAGTGAGTAATGTTTTTTTTTTTTTTTTTTTTGTCACTCAAGTTCTTGTATTTAAGAAGTGGGCAAGTGTTTTGGTTTTGTGGATTGGAGATAACGCTATGACTCGTAAGAACTAGAGTTGCTTTCTTGGAGTTATGTGGGCTCATAGTGGGTGGTTGCTTAGCTGAACTAAGATTCAATACTAGCGTGTACTCATCACCTGTCACGAAGGCTTTTTTGAGATTCCACATTGATTGGAGAAAGGAACGAGTGTTAGTGAGGACGCTGGGTCTCGAAGGGGGTGGATTGTGAGATCTCATATCGATTGGAGAGCGCAATGAAACATTCTTTATAAGGGTGTGAGAATCTATCCCTAGC